GGGGGTCCTGCGGCTCTGGAGACTCTGGCCCGGAGCCTCGGGGTGTCAGAATATTTCGTTCCGGAGCCCCTGCTGGGCCCCCAGCTCTGCTCTGGGCGCGGGGGGTCCCCACGGGGAGGGAGGTGGGCCCTGAGCTGACCAGCAAGGGAAGATGCTTGGGCAGCTCATAACGTGCCACCGCTTCCGAAGGGAAGATGCAGCAAGGAAGGGGGGGCGGGGGTATTGCCGTGGGGGGAGCAGGAGGAGGGGTCTGAGAAGTCCTCTGGACCTGAGACCCGAGGGGGTGAGGCAGCCGTAGGAGGGAACCGGACCAGGGGAGAGAGCACTGCGGTGGCCTTCAGAGGTGTCCGTCCACCGGGAGTGTAAGCGCGATGCAGTGAGGTCAGCTTTGGAGGCTTTTGCCAGATGGAAATCGGAGCTTTCCCAAAACGTTAGGGATCACCCCTTCATTCAGGGCTGAACTCTTTAGTCCTGAAGTGTGAGAGAAGGGGGGTGGGGGGTAAGCCCCAGTGCTTCTGGCAAAATATTGTCATTCATGTTGTCCCCGTTTAACTATGTTGACTACATTTGTCATTTCCATTGGTTTTCAGGAAGACTTCATCTGAGTTCATGTTATAAATCACTAAGTAACCTCTCCCTTTAAAAAAAAAAAAAAGTGTATTTGAGTTAAAAGAGTTGTGGGAACTTGGGGCGTTTGTTTGTTTTTCCCACATGAGGAAAAGGAAATGGTAATAGGGAGGCCAAGGAATAGTCTGTCCTGATTCTTCTCCCACAAATAAACTCAGGAAATAATACCAGTGCTTCAACATACAGCATCTCCGCAGGTCCTCAGAGCTCCCCACCCAGGCCAGGGGAGCTGGCAGAGGAAGGAAACAGACTCAGACTTGATACCTAGTTAAGCAGAATCATCATGTCCCACACCCTGCCGCTCGCTGAGGCGGTAGAGGCGAAGGTGAAGCAATGAGGACATGGCTTATATAAAACGTTTTAAATTTTATATGGCAAAATAAGCCACATTCAATTGCAGAATTTTGTATCAGCAGGATCACGTAATTCGATCCCTGCTCATTTTGCTCATGGGGAGACTGGGCTAGTTGAGGACAGAGCAATGACTCAACCTAGAGGTTCTGTTTTCAACATATTCAGCTCTTTCTCTTTTGTTTCCCCAGAACCCTTAACTATGTAACGTTGTTTGCACTGGCTACTGAACAAGTGGAAAGAGCTTTGTTGAGGACCCCAGAATTGAGTTCATTTCAGACAGCATTAGGGTTAGTTGTATGAGGTTTTACCTTCTTCCACAAGTATTTATTGGGGTGCCCATTGGTTAAGGGGGCTAAGTCACAGCCCCTTAAGGGGAGTAAGTGGAGCAAATAAGTAACTGGCTAATTGCAATTTACAGGCAGCAGTACCTGGAAGAGGAGTTGGAGGGAGAGTCAATTCTTAGTATAGCAGAGAAATGGAGAGGTCCAAACAGGATGTGAGTATTAAGAACGTATGTCAGATTGGAATCAAATTGTTTCGATATGGTTATGTTAATAATCACAATATCGATCCTCTCCCTAAGTGTTTGTTGTCTTGAACAATGTATGACATACACATAAGTGGTGGGGAGACTATTGCAGCCAAGAGACGATGTACCTTCCCACACTGCTATTCACATTTAATTAGTACTAGGCATTTGTGGCTGCTGTAATGTTATCAAGGATGATAAGAATGACTAACCATGTTCAGCACTGTGAACTGCAGACTGGCCTCAGTTAAATTATGCACAAGTGGTCTTGAGGCAATCTCCCTGAAAAGAGCCATGGCATATGAGTGATATATGAATGTGAGCAATAATAACGATTTCTGTAGAGCAGAGTCTAGAGCAGCCATGGGCAAACTACGGCCCACGGGCCGGATCCGGCCCATTTGAAATGAATAAAACTAAAAAGTAAAAAAGACCGTACCCTTTTATGTAATGATGTTTACTTTGAATTTATATTAGTTCACACAAACACTCCATCCATGCTTTTGTTCCGGCCCTCCGGTCCAGTTTAAGAACCCATTGTGGCCGTCGAGTCAAAAAGTTTGCCCACCCCTGGTCTAGAGTGTGAGTCATGTAGCTTGCACAACATTGTGATGAAGAGCCACCCTACCAATCAAGAGCAAAGCCACCGTGCTCCCGAGCTACTCCGAGCTCCCCCTGCTGCGTTTTTATTTACTAATTAGATGTAACTACTTAAGAATAGGAATTATTTTGTTTTTCATTTCAAAAATCATATATCTGTTATTTGTGAGCTTCCTAATTATGCCAACCTTATCATTATTAAGATATATCATTGTTTTATTTTAAAAGCCCGTGAAACATCCCAATAATACAGAAATTAAAGGACAGAGTGCCCTGACTTTTGGTGGGAATTTAGGATAAATAAAATTTAAGATGGTTGTTGCTATTGCTACTGGCATTAAAAAACAGTGAATTTGCCGAAACTGGTTTGGCTCAGTGGATAGAGCGTCGGCCTGCAGACTGAAGGGTCCCGGGTTTGATTCTGGTCAAGGGCATGTACCTTGGTTGTGGGCACATCCCCAGTAGGGAGTGGTGCAGGAGGCAGCTGATTGATGTTTCTCTCTCATCGATGTTTCTAACTCTCTATCCCTCTCCCTCTCCCTTCCTCTCTGTAAAAAATCAATAAAATGTATTTTTTTTAAATAAAAATAAATAAATAAAAACTGAATTTACTTTTTGACGAGGCTATTTTGACAAACCCAGATACAAATGGCTGTGAAAATTTGTCCAATTTCATACCTATTAATCAGACACTGTAATTAGCTTTTTGGGTGACATTTATCTTTGTAACAATTGTAACAATTAAATTAGACTAGAAGTCCGTTGCACGAAGATTCGCACAATAGGCCTTCCTTCCCCTGGCTGCTGGCACTGGTTTTCCTCCGGCACCCGGGACCCAGGCCTCAAGGCCAGGCTTCTCCCCTGTGGCTGCAGCGAGGCTTCGCTTCAGGCTTCAGTCTTCACTCCAGCCGGAGCCTTCAGTCTCTGCTTTGCGCCTGTGTATGCAAATTAACCGCCATCTTT